CGATATGCTTCCCGTTTGTTATGTATCCGCTTTTATAGGAGGTCAGGAGCTGCGTTGCGAAAATTGTACAGTTGGAGATTTGTAATCTGAACAGAAACGAACACGCCTGTCTATCATATGTCAAAAATACCATGCATTCTATTGATAAGCGAAGTTGTTTTTTAAAAAATTCCGAGACGAATCTTTGCAACCGGACTAGGTAGGATGATTAAAATATCATTAATTAAAATTTTAGTTTCAAAAACTTGCGCACGATAGATTGAAATTCCTCTTCTCGCGGTATACCATGTATCAAAACATCCAATTATTTTTCATATGCGACGATTGATTAAAAATTGCTCAAATTCACGAAAAACTACTTGCTTATTCGGTTTTTTTCCGTCAAAATGATTGACGATCTCAAGAAAACTGCAAAAAAAAAACGACGGATCTAGACACTAAGAACAAGGAGGGGGGTGGCGGATGGGGGGGGCGGTGGTTTCTCTCGGGAAATTTTTTAATTTTTAAAGCATCTTATATGCAATTTGAGTCAATTTTGTCATGAATAATTACCAGATGCATACGTCTTTCTTTCTTTCCTCCGTTCCTCCGTTCCTTCTTCCTTTTCTTTTTCTTCTTCCTTTTTTTCGGTCAAACGGAGGGAGGGTCAAACACTCACCTGAATCTGCCTATGAAATAAAACTACAGAAAATGGGCAAAAAAGGCTGGAAATGCAAGTGTAATCCTCATCGAAATCCGAGGTGATAACATACCCTTTTTTGACCAGGAAACTGAGAATGGAATAAAATAAATTAAAATTAAAGAGGGTCAATGATGGTTAAAACACACGACAGAGTATTTAGGGAATTACAAAATATTTAAGGAATGTGATATTGTTTACGTCATCGAGGCATAGTGCACATTATATTACTACCACGAGCTTTGTTATTTTTAAATAGTAATTTTGCGCTTCTTAAATTTTCAGTTTCGTGGTCTATTGTGGGGTTGCTATCATTCCAAAACTTCCCGAGCACTCTGTTTCCTTTACGTGTCACATTTCGCAATTTCTTGTATCATAGTGTCGTTTGGTTTCCGAAATAGATTACGCATGCTTCCTTTTATTTTGCGAGCAAATTTTCATGAGTCACCGTCAAGACACGTAAATGACGTCACAAATCCTACCCTCAGGCTGGCACTCCATGGGCTGACACTGACAGGTTTGTAAATAATTTCGTTGTGGTCCACTTTTCGCAGGGTCCGGCGCGGCAACGATGAGTAACATTCAGTGGCGAGGCGTGCTTTGCGGTATATCGATTGATCTATCATTTAAACCCATGGAAAAGGATCGATAAACAGGGTGTTCGCAACAAACATCTTAATAATCGATTCTTTACCGCAGCTTCAAATGAGGAAATATCAATCCATAGTCGATCGTTCGCGCCTCAACATTGTGTGAATATTTTTATCCCTCGCGCATCATCGCGTTTGAAATGCCTCCGCCGAAGTTTTATGATCTGCGTTGCGTCATCCGATGATTTTTATGGGATATTAATTTGGTCAAGATGGCTCTACCAGCTTACCTTGAGCGCTTGGTCTGTTGTCGCAGTGGGTCGGAGCTCCTGCTTCGTCTGCGGTAAACAAAACCCAGATGCAGTTTGCATATGACGAGAGCGGTATAAATATACGGTTTGTTCTTTTTCGTTGTATACCATAAAGTTATCATACCATTATACTGTCTATTTTCACCACACAGTTACTACGAATCGGATTGAATTTTGCAATAAGGAACTACTCTCTCTGGCTCTTCCATCCAAGCACTTTTTGCATAAGTGCATTGCAATGTTGTTTAATGCATGTTTTATGCGACGACTTATTTTTTCAATCATTAACGAATGCATTTTTTACATCGGGATTTTTAGGAAATTTCTCTCAAATCTTGAATCAAGCACATGGATAATTTTAAAACAAAAATATTGACAGCTCTTGAGTAAATTAATAAATCATTCAATAAAAATGTTCAACGTTGCAATGCTATTATGTCCCCTTGTCTCTTATGCCTTTAATTTTTGTTACTCAAAGCAAGTCAGGTTTTATGAAGATTATTCTAATGATTATGGGAAGTATATGAATATGGCTGAGCACCTAATGCAAGTAGACTTATTTTATGAGAATTGTGAATGCCATTGACTCTGCTCTTACTACACCCTAGCCCAATAAGTCACAATTTTGCTCAGCATGGAACGCGCGAAATTCCGTCTCTTTCTCTCTGCTGAAACAAATTCTAAATGGGAGGCTTCTCACCTACCTTCACAAAGACAATAATGCAAAGAATAAATGAATATAGTAATTCGTGCATGCTGATCCAAATTCCTAATCCGCCTTTCCTCATCGAATGCTGCGACGGAGCTTCAAAGCAAGTAACCTCAATGTTCTAGGACTACAAGACTCTTCAAATGGAGGCCATCAGGATGATATTGAATTTTTTTTTATATTTTTGGTTTGTTTACTTGAAACGTACTACGAAATTTGCTTTTTCAGAACATTCACACGTTTTTAAGATTTTTTTTAGTTGACGCCTAAATAATTAAACAGATCTATCTTATATGTATGTATCACGTTTTACACTGGTTATATCCAGAAATTAGTAGGTTTGAAAAATTTGCTATTTGAAATATTAGAGGTAGAAACTGCAGCACCCAAGCAGCCACTACTCGTAGCTTTGTAAAAACCTGTAAGCATAAGACTTCGATTCTTTAAAAAATTGAAAAAAATAGTTTCTCATAAATTCGCCCCTTCTCCGCGAGGCGAGGATTCAAAATTTCTTTGTATGCACCACTGTATGTTACCAAGCCAAAAGCTACTGAAACCTAAAATGTATGAAAGTTTACCATTTTGACTTAATCTTTGAATAAACAAAATCTGTTTCTGAACTGAATTTTTGGAACTATGGTTCGATTTTAAACATGAAGATTGGTCGTTTCTGAAAAAAAAAAGAAAAAAAAAAAAAAAAAAAACTTAAACCGCAATGAAGCTGTATGCAAAGAAACTGTGATTTTATAAAACTGAGTTGTTCGGATATAGGAAGAATTTAAATTGTTGCATTATTCGAGGAGCAGATAGGATTAATATTTGCGTGAATAATCTGCATTACTTCATTCCTTGCATCACTTTGATGTTACCTTGCAAATTTCAGAGCTATCTTTTAAAGATGAATTTGACGCCGATTGAAGTGAATTTACCGAGGAGGAACCTGAAACAAGCTCATACGTCAAACTGATACTACAATTTACAAGAGATTTGAACTTTTATTTATGCACTGAAAAAAGTGCAGTGCTAATCCATTTGTCCACGTACGTTTCCCAGAAAGTTTACGAGACGGGTGGTTAAGCTGTCTGAAATTTGGTGACCGACCACTAAATTTTATGGAGATCAAGTATAGCCAGAGAGCCAAGTAATCGGTGCCATCTGTGTAAGGCTTGACGAAAAATATAAACTTTAACCTTTTGTTCGCAAACTGAAAGTTTTTCTCCGACTTTGAACTTTAACCCGAGTTAGCCAACTTAATCACCCATTTAAAGTTAATACTAAGTTCGAAATTTTTTCTTTCTTTTAATCTTTTTTTGTTATTAAATCCAATGTTTCATTCACCTGATACCTTTCCAGATTATGGGCCTTAATACTTCACATCCTGTGTCTAATCGGTGTGACGATGATCTCATCTCGTCGCTGAATTCTCAGAAACTTGGACTGCGTATGCGTGCTCTGGTCTCAAGGTTAAATTGTCTTAGTCAGTCATCGGTATGTCGAGCTCTTTTCAAAACATCATGGTTGTCCATACTTCAAAGAGGAAATTTTGCATAAATTCTACCAGGTCGCAAATCCTCCTCACGGGAGAAAATGTCGAACACTAATTCCACTCCTTGCAAAAAATATTGCAAACCTTTCATATTAAAGTTTCATACAAGATGTATCTTTCATTTCTTCGAGAACGTAATTATGTTTCATTTATATACAATCCTCATCCACAATGTTCCTTTCCAGTGCTTTTATCAGGAAGCTATTGAGAATTTTTTACTGAAAAATTTACTAATTTTTTCTTTGACCAAAAGCAAAATGTGCCACAAGTGTGGAGGGATAATGTGCAGTCATATTCCTGTAAGATACTTTAAGACACAAGAGGGCAACAAAAGTTAATTCTTTAAAAAATTATTCCCATGGTCTCAGTACCCTCTTCCCATGAACGGTTACGTAATCCTGCCATTTGGCAAGGAGGCAGAGTTTTTGTCTTTCGTAATTTGCTAAATGGTCAAGCAGAAGTGTAAGTGCACTTAAGAGTCGTAAAAACTTGCTCGATGTATAACATCTGAGCGGAATTAAATAAAAACCATTTACCATGGAATAAATTTAACCTCAATCTCTCTGAAAAAGAGGATGAAAAAACGTCGTGGGTCACTTTCTGTGAGCGCCAATGATACTTCACTCGCCAATGAAATTCTTAAATCTATAGGACAAGTAGGGAAAATTGGATCAAACTTGCACAAGGATCAACAGTAGCGACGGATAGGAGCGGGATATCACCTTTACTCTTTCTAAAGACTTGTCATTTAATTGGCATTGTTTAAAAATTGTATTATGATGCGAGTAAAAATCTACAGAGAAAAGAGATTTGCCTAGGCTCTAGTGTAAAAGCCGAAAATTGGGTCCAAAATATTCCAAAAACTGACCCTTTAAATTGTTCAACCTTGGAAAAAGAGAACTTGAGAGTTTAGCTTTGTTTACATTCAGCCAGCGTTGTTGTCAGATTAGGAAAAGATTAACTTCAAACGCTTAGAAAAGTATAATGACTTGAAATTTTGACTCCGTCCTTCAGTTCAGTGTAGGAGCGTTGATAACAGTCGACCAAAATATCACCATACTCATCCAGCCTTTACTTTAATTCGTAAACATGTCATCTGCAAGTCCTGATTGGATCCTCTGATCCAGGACAGAATTAATGATAGGAGACCAGGAAAAAGACAAACTTCATAGATGCAACAGTTTTATTTAATTAAAATATTCAGTATTTTTATGATACAGTATAAATTCGATTTTCATTGCCTCCTAACACGTGTTCAAATACGTATCGTTTTTAGCAAATTAAGTTCATGCATTTTTCCCTCATTCTTTTCCTTTGCGTTCATTGCTCCTTTCTCTATCTTCCTTTTTGTAATAATTAAAGCTCCTCTTTTCAAAGGTGTCATCTTTTATCTTTACGATATCTCAATAGAAATCACTCATTTCTTTTTTTCTATTACGGATGCTCATAGAAGTCAAAATACCTAACAATACAGAATTTGTCTACCCCTATACTAGTAATGATTCCTAAATATGTCAAAGACAGAAGTAATGAAGATAGCTCATCGATAATTTGAAAAAAATCAGATGAATACTTCACTTACAATTTACGAACCAATGAAATTTATTATTAACGACAAGTCAGGGTGACTGCGACATTTCCCAGAGAAAAGGTTAGTTTGAATCAGTGCGAAAATCGTATAAATGATTATAATACGGATTTTGACACTGTTTGTATGACGGATGTATAATATTTGGCTCAAATCTTTATAAGTTCAAAAATATTATTTTTCTGCTGTTGGTTTTTCTTCCGTTTTGACTCTATGACTCTAATGAAGATTTTTCGTAGCACTGGTACGCAGCTTCCGCTCGTGAAAAATATACTTTAAATAATTGGACAGCATTTTGCAATTTGCAGCCATAAATTCTGTCTCATCTGAAAAAACACGTATGTGCATAGGGAAACTAATAGCACATGCGTTGTTTCTGAGCCAGGCCGGAATTTATAGTTACTAATTGCAAAATGTAGTCCAATTTCATGAAGCAGAAACGTTTGTACCGATTGTTTAGTCCCTCTGCCAGAAATATACAATAATTCAGTTGATTGTATACTAATTGCTACGTAATAATACTTGTTATCCCTTTACTTTCAAGAACACCATTTTTATTCGTCATCAGGAGGCAGGAGTGTGCCGATGATTAAAAAATTAAGGCAACATTTTAAAATCAACTATGATCACTGAATAATTCCAGCGGTATTTTTATCTGCATTGTCTCAGAGTGATGTGCCTCCTAAATTTTTTGAATAGTTTTTGTATAAATCTGTTTTTGAATTATATTACATTTTTTCGGTCATTTTAAATTATATCAAGCCCCATCATAGCATCTATTATGAATACACAAGCATTGACGATAGCCAACCATCCTTTCAGAACTCCTGAGGTGATTCTGTCGGGAAATTTATCCAGCGAGAACCGGGTGTATCCGAAATGTTGGAGGGTATAGTAGCCGCTCACTAGAAATAAAACTGCCCCGAGAATCACCCATATCAAATCCTGGAACCAGAGAGAGAGGATTCTCAATGAGGAATGCACTCAGATAGACTCATATACGTGCGTTGAAAAGAATGGAACGTAACAAAGTAAATCCAATGAGCTGCACATGATGTATTTGACCGTTGACGGAAAAAAGACTTAAGTTCACATTAGATAAAGTGCTGCGAGAGGGCAAATTTCTTCGATTTGGGTTTAAAAAACTAAACTTGAAGAAGCGTTTCGAGCGTTTGTGCAACATTTTGTTTGACAACGTTTGTGCCAACAGGCGGAGTAAGAATGCAGTATATCGAGGGCTAAAGTACGAAACCTTGTTTTTGGGGCCTTTATTTCGGGCTGAAAATGCTCCTATGATATAATTCTACAATCAACGGTCCGCATCACATTATTTTGAATTTGCTGCCGACACTGAGGTCCTTTGATTCCGGCGGGCGGCCATCATGTGTCTTTCAAGCCGAATGTCTCCATACTTGGCTATCATTAAAAGAATCATCATTGCGAGATGAAAATTCTGACGATGATAGCAAGTGACATGTAAAAAGATATCAGAAGTTCAGTTTTGTAATAGTTATGCGAATAAAATGTGCAGCTCATTATCGTTTAATTTCACTTATTGCTTCCCTTTCTCCACTCAGATTGATTTACTTGGATTGATTTGGTTTATTTAAGGCGATAATGTACAATTGAAGTGCGAGGGCTACTCAGACTCACACTGTGCGGACTTTAGCACACAAATGCAGGATCTAGGACACAGGGTGAACGGTGCTCTCAAATTCTATACTTGCAAAACGACAGAAAAATTATAGATACTCATCAGACTCAACAAACTCCAGAACACACTAATTAATTTGAAGAATTCACGATAAAAGGAAGTCAATACCTAATATCATAACTTCACCTGTTTCCCATTGGCCGAAAAAATGAGAAATCAGGGAAAACTCAAGGAGTTTACGGTTTACCAAAATTTTTGTTTTAAATTTTTATTTGGAGGGATAGTTAAATCTCCACTGAATAGATAATCCCAGAAAGAATCAGATTCATAATCATAGTATAGCCACTTACCTGTCTATAGTGACCGACGAAGCGCTGTAAAAGTTTCCTCTGCTTCCGCGATTGCGGACGGTCATATTTCGATTAAATGGGCAGTTGGCGAGTTTTACATATTGAAAGTACTAATTTCCTTCCAATTTGAATATAAACTGATTCACATGCAATTAAATCACAGATTGATAAAGATTGATTGACTCTCTTACTAGCGGTTCATCATTGGTAGAAACTTTTAATCCAAAATTACCCTATGGGCATCAACAATAATTTGAATTTGACTTATTATTTCCTGCGGATGACCACCTTTTTGACGGTATTAGCTCCCTTTTTGTTAGCTGATGGTTTCAAGTGATGCAGTGTGCCAAAAAAATTTAAAAGAACATCGATGTGTTGACCAAACAAATTTATCAACATTTCAAGCATTGCGGTGTGGAACTCCAAAAGTAAAAGTTTCCGCCTGTTGCAAAAAGGCCAGTAATGGGTCTCTATTTGTCTTTAGTGATTCGAACGGACGAATCCTAATGTTGCTAACTTGATTGACTCTCCTTTGAAAAAAATTTTTTATTATTTTTTCACATTTTTCATTACTTTTTGAGGTCTGCATGAGCTTTCACATCCACAAATTATATTTTTTTCTCAGAGCAACACGTTGAAAAACTCGTAAGAAACGTTTTACAGAAGTTAGAAAAAGGTCTGTAATGTTGCCATAACTTCGACACAGCTTGCGCGAGCCATAATTGACCTTTGAATAATGACAAAGGTTATTAGTTGGAGACCGGCCTCATGAGCCTATTGTCGGCGCGGTGTCCATGACTGTTAGCGTGGCGTGTGCCTCTCGTTCAATTGAGATGGATTCATGACCTATTAATTCATTTTTCTTTCATCTCCGCTTTGTCACGGTTAATTTCATGTTGTTTTTTGGATATTAGGTCCCATCGCCAGTGCCCATCAGCCATCAGCTAGAGTCGCTTGAAAATAAATGACCTGCCATTCTATTTGTCGCATAGTGATGAGCACGAAGATGAATTTAAATGCATCGGAGTTCATCACAGGTTTGTTATTAAATATTTATAAATAGTTGGTCGACAACTTCTGATAGGACACCGCTGCTGAAATTGTAGGGTTTGGTCGAGTTAAATCAGAATTAAACTTTGTTTGACTCTCAGTTGAATCGGTTTCTGTTAGATGGGAGTAAGTCTACAAACTCATGAGCCCTGGCGTCATACGTGATCAACTGAAGCCAGGGCTCATGATTTTTTTAACTTACGCCCGTCTAACAGAAACCGATTAGTCTCTGTTCAACCTTTATATAATCTAGATAACTTACTATTTGTGAAAAAGATATGACTGAATTCATGGCAATGTTTCATGAAGAAATCTGACTGAAACTTTTTAACATGAAATCTGCCCTGCCTTAGCTGAGGGAAAAAACTATCAGCTAAGCCTAGTGGCCAGATAATGCTGAAAAATCAGCAACCATTTTAACACACGTAAAATATCTACATTTAATTGAAAAATCTGGTAACTTTGCAGTTACGGCACCGAATATGAAGTTTATAGGTGAGGTTCACTTAAAATAAAAATATGCGGAGAAACAGCACGATCCAACCTGGAAGATTAAATCAAAGCAATCTTGAGAGAGCAGTAATTTTTCTCTCTGTGAGAAATATCTGTTATGAGAAACTAATTTGAAGTCGTTGTTTCTACAAAGATTTTCTTCTGTCTAAGTTAAGTAAAACGTTCGGATTTTAAAATTTGAAGAATCTTTCAAATGGTCTGACTCTGACGGTGGCGTGGCGTGCTCTGCAATCTATCGATTGATCTGCCATTGAACCTATATCGACGGTGAAACTACCAAACCACGTATCTCGTTTGCGGTGTTTAAAAATCTACGCTCACATTTTATTTTTTTGAAGTAGACCAAATTAATATCATTCCTTGAAACTTTCACGGAATTTTCTCCGCACAAAGAGGAAAAATCACAGTTTTCAAGACTGGATGTTAAGTAGTTTTTATTTAAAAAATAAAGTATGACAGGAAGTCTGCGACGTCGCAAACCGAGATACGTGGTTTGGTAGTTTCACCGTCGATATAGTCTATGCCATAACCTATGGGAAATGATCGATCAATAGGGTGTTTGTAACGATCACCTAATCGATTCTTTACCATGGCTTCAATTGGGGAAATATCGATAATCGATCATTCACGCCACGCCAGTCGCCACTGGACTCTGAAAATAATCAGTCCCTAGAATTATGCGCGTTAGCTCCTAACTAATTATTTACTGTATATTTAGTGCAACTATTTTTTTTCACTCATGGCGCTAAAATAATTTCAAACGTATCAATCAAAACTACAGTGCAAATGTGCTAAAAAACGCAAAAGAATGTTTCTCTGTTTTAATCTTTCATCAATGAAACGGTGGGTCTGAGTGCAAGAAAAAGGTGTTATTCACGATTAGTGAAACGTTTATTTGTAAAAATAAATATACAAATGACAAGAAACAACATTGAAAAAAAAAAAAACAGATATACTCTTTATTTTGAACTAAATGCTATCAAGAAAGATGCTTCCAGATGACTTAGATTATTAATTTAACAATGAACGTAAATCTAATTCTTGGGAATGATCACAGAGTTAAAACGAGAATTACGGAAATATGTGTTCGAGGGAAGAAAAGTACTTTGAAAAGAAACTGTACATTGTTTGGGAAGACGAACAAATTATTCTGATTTGAACACAATTTTGTTTGGTCGGTGTACCTACTAACTTCTTTTAAGTTTAGCATTAATTGTTGTAATGGGCTTGAAAAATGTGCGCATCTTTCCTGATAGCCTTTGTATAAAATTTGTATCATTTATAAAAGATTTGACACGAATGGTCAGAAAAATTAAGGCAAGAAGGGAGTATCGACGACATTTTTACGATGATCTGACTGGTTGAGTATCAAAAAACACTCAGCAAAATTCTTAGCAGACGAAAATCATCATTTAATGATCAGAAATAAAAATCGAATTTAACTACTTAACTGTTAAATGTGAGATGGCGTTACCTCTCACTTGGGTCTATTTTGTGGTTTTATTTTAGTGATGATTGTTTTTTGTTTACTGAACGATGAGAAGCGAAATATTTACAATGTAACGTATTTAATTTATGACGGTAATAAATTAGAAATTTTAGAATTTTTATTTAATATTTAAATTTTATAAATAACAAAAATAAATATTATTAAGTAGACAGAATTCAATACTATACAGCAGGTACAAAATAATTTTGATCCCTTCGTTGGTTTCACTTTTTAGATTTAGTTGTTCTTACTTTATACATACCACAAATATTTACTGTTGACGACTTTTCTACGCTCTGAACGGTACCTCAAAGTTTCATTCCAGTTATACAAACATACTTATACTTCAAATTCTTCGCTTCTCTAAGATTTATATTTTCACATTATCACAAGGAGGACGACGCCTTTTCCCGGATTTGAATATTTTAATCTGATAAATTTCTCAAAAATGGGACAGTCAGTGAATGTTAAGCACACTTATTCGGCGTTTTCGTCGAAATCTCAGTCTTACGGAACAATGGTCGGTTATCTCTCTAGGTTTACGGTCGAAGTTTTACCGCAAAACATGTTTGAATATTAAAAAACTGTTAATCTCCGATTGTTCTCATTTTATTACCTTTACCTCTGAAGTTATGCATGGAATTTTTGATTACAGATACGCTAGTAAGAATATTTTGCTACTTCATGAATCCAGAATAAGTTAGAGTTCCATTGCGAGTTGCTTTTACCGCTGAATGTATAATACCTATAAGTGTGCTTAACATCCGGTAATGGGACGGTTTTTTATTAAGATGTTAAATTGGGTTAACTTAAAATCCGCCATCTTGGTAAACAAAGACGGCATCCACGATGAAAATAATTCCGTTGACAACAGCAAGCCATCCTTTGGTGAGGCCAAGGTTTGCCTGGTCTTTATTGTACGCCCAACCGGAGAAGTGTTGGATCGAGTAGAAACCTGATGCAAGGTACAAAATGGCTCCCAAAACAACGAAAAACAGATCCTAAAAACGGTAAAATGGTTGTAAAACCAAGTAACACATAAATTAGCTTCACTTCAAAAGCCAGCAGGATATATTTATTTAAAATGGGCCGGTGAGTATGATTTCCCGTTCATCCGCTGGTCACACAATTTAGTACAGTTTAGTGATTAGTTCTACAGGATTTTATTTTTTATGTTCGCTCTGTTCATAATGAATTGGTTTTAAATGAAACCATCACGGAAAAAAGCAGGTCGGGGTTTAAGTCCCAACTGTTGGATGATATGGACATTCCCAATTAATTGGGGTAATACCCCGATTACTTGTGGTAGTATCCCGATAAATTAGGTTACCAACCCAAATTTTGCGGTACTACCCCAACTTTGGTGCCACCAAAATTAATTGGAAATGTCCATATCATCCGACAAATTGGGGTAGTACCACAATTTTAGGGGATAACCCCCGACACTTTTTTTTCCGTGATACCAACCAAAATCCACGAATGAGAACAACGCAAGTTCATGACATATCTTAAATTGTGATCATCAACCAATTCTGGAAAGTCGCTTTTAAGATCCGTCCAAGCTTCACTAATTTCGATTTCTGTTATCTAAAGTCTGTACTTTCACACATTTGTTTATGGTGTGTGACACACCGATTTGCAGAAATGCCGTATTTTGCCGTATGTCATGAATGTCATACGTTGTCTCACAAAATAAATGGATAGTAGGTGGAGCTAAAAACTATGCGGTAATTACTAGGTATTTTGCATTAAAATAGAATGATTACGAGTGATCATCAAAATGTGGATGTTTAGATTTTATTGTTGAACGTACAAAAAACTGAAGTTTAAAGCATTAGAGGAGGCATAAGCAAGAAGCGAAAAGCACTTTTTTAAGCCTTTATAAGGGCACGCTTAATTGACATGAAACCTGTTAAATATTTGTTTAGATACTTAAATAACACTGCAGAGGCATTTGCCTTTAAAAGTTATCCTCAGAATTTATACAATTCCTCGAGTGTCCATAAAAATCCATGGCAAAATCTATTCAAAGAATGATTTTTTCACTGTTTAACGATGGATTCAGGAGTTGATATCGCTCGAGATAGTTTAATTGGAATGATTATCTGTTTAATGAAATAACAATGGTATTTACATATGATGTATCGATCTTCAAGCAAAAAAGGGCGTGGGTCACAATGACCGGAGTTTCGGTTAATTTAGGAAGTTATCAACCAAATTAACTAAAGTTTCCGGTCGTAAAAATTAATATTAAGTTTACATAATCGAAAGTCTCAGTAAATAATACGCAACTCAGTGTATGCCTGCTTCACAAAAATTTCGATTACCTAAACTGAATATTTCCTTGGATGTTACTTGCACCAAAAATTTTGGAGGCCCATAAGAAATCAAGGGGTTCTCCCTTTTTAGCATATTTACACGCTAAACAAAAAGGCTTGTACCAAATTCCTTGCAGTGAAAATTTATTCCGTTGGTGATTGTTTGTGAAATACTCACTATCTTCCAAACTACGCACTGATTCCAATGGAAAACGTTTCTAATTTGTTTATACGTGTCCAGTTCACTTCATTTGAGATTCCATTACGAGATCAAGCAGTCTTTTCTGTGTTAAAATATATGATATTGTCCAACATGTACGAATAACATGAAGTAGTCCTATAAATGCACTATTATTTTCTTTTGACATCTTGCTAGTAGCAGTGCCACCAATGTTTCCATTAACTCCATTCGCCATGTAGACATTAAATAAATTAAATAAATAATTTACAAATTTTCACTATTAAAATCTAAAATATTTGGTTTTCCTCTAAGCGACGAAGCATAGATGAATGGTGCCATGTTCCCTGCAAAAGCTTCACACTTGTTAATGGCGCGAAGAACCTCCGTCTTTGTACACGAAAACAGCGTCAATGATGAAGACGATACCGTTGATAACAGCGAGCCACCCTTTAATGAGACCCAACGTAGCGACCGGCCTGCTCGAGGCCCAGTAAGAGAAGTGGTTGATGACGTAGAAACCGGATAGTAAGAATAGAACAGCGCCCAGGACAACGATAAACAAATCCTAAAACGGGAAAATTGGGGGCATTTTAACAACATTTACTCGAGATGGGTTTGCGTGCGCGTGAGTTCGAGCCAAGAAACAACTGGTCCCGTGTTAGATTGAGAGTCGGAAAAACCCCGAGGAAGGCAAGAGACCGGAAAATAGGTCATTCAGTTACACATTCATATTTTATTCCGCTATTGATGATAAATTAACCCTATAGAACTGGGATCATCGGCATTCTTCAACACGATTCTTTCGAGCAAGGGTAGTTAAGTACATAATACGGAGAATCATTCATCGATTAAAAGTTAGGAGTTATACTGACAGGTTTTGACAGGAGATTTACTATAGTTTTCGTTTCACTGTGCGTCAGTGTATTTTCATACCAAGCGATTTGACTCAAGTGCGCTAAGCACACGCTACACTATGGAAAGTAACAAGAGCCGGAGCGCCTTCAAACACTCGTGTATGCAACATAGACATCTTTGGAGTAGGAATAGTTGTATCCCAGGCCTCAATGTCAAAATCGATTTTTTAGCGTGAGAGCGATACATATGCGAGGGTCAAACTACACTTGGCACGAAATGAGATCACGATACATTAGTTTGAGTTCGAAAATAGTTAAAATTTCAGGACAAGCTTACAAACTTGGAGTTTCATTATATTCCCCAGCGGAAGACTGTTAAAGAAGGAAGTTCATTCGGTTAGTCCTAATTCGTTAATGTTCCAATCAATTGACTCGAGAGGCAGGAAAGATTTCAACATCATTCAGAGAGTAAGTATCGACTCACAAGTAAATATTAGGTTAGTTCAATTCTACGTTTCAATTATATTGACTGTTTGATTTCACCATTGATGAAAGAGCATGGGTTTCAGTATTCATTTCAGGCATTACAGTGAATCTCTCCTTGATAGGATAGAAATATCTAATGGAGATTGATATATTTTCAGAAATAAAGAGAAACAAAGGGTTCTTTTTAAAAGAGAAAGGTTTATTTTAAGAAAAATAAATAAATATTTTAGAAACGAACAAAATTCACTGAAAAAGTGGCATGCAAAACGTTTAACAGATAAATGCGTATGAAAGTCGATTAAAAAAAACAATTATACTTTTAGAAGAAAAAAAATAAGGAACTGCAAAAACCTTTGTGATTATCTGCTCAAATGGAAGGAGAGTTAAGACTTACAGTAAAAAAAAAGGCTCAATAAGTTTGATTAATTGCTCTTAACGGAGAGGGTTACTACGATCTATTTGAAAGGCCTATTTGGAAGTGACTAAAATTCTATTGAAAACAGTTATACAGAAATTTGGTTTTTTGAATGCATTAAACTGAAGATTTCCCTATCACTAAGCTACTGAGTTTATCTTGAAAATAACATGAAAATGCTGACTGGAAAATGCAGAAATAAAATATATTAAAATTTGTTCCTTTTGAATTTTTTAAAATATATAGGTATAACAGTTAAAATCACGAGCATTTTCAGTAAATGCAAAGAGTAACATAAATGCAATTAATATTACCCTGACAGACCATTCAAAAAGTCATGGAAGGAGTAGACAGTAGACAGAAATACTACAAATGTTAGTGTTGGTATGACTCAAATTCCAATTATTGCACCTGGCCTGAATACACTTGAATATTTAGAAAAACCAGTGAACATCAGCGAAATGATTCCTCGGCCGAAAGTGAATCCGATGCAAGTGTTAAATTAAACTTATTTAAATAAATAAATACGTCTTAAATAAATAAATTAGATGAACATCCCTTTGGGGGAAAAATGAATTCAATGAGAGACTACATAAAGATAGGTGGTGAAAGATGAGGTGAAGGTATACTGGATGGGTACTTTGGTCGCAGATCTGTGTGTTTTCTTGATTTCCAGCTTGAGAAGGTGGGAATTTTTGTAAAGTACTCATTTAAAAAGAGAGAAAGAGTTGTCTAGAACTTTCGCTCACTCGTATATTCATTAATGAGTGAAGAAGACAACTCCTTCCAAATTGGGAACTAATGTGTATAAAATCTCTGAGAGCCAGCGGTTGATTTGATACACATTTTTCAGAAGTGAAGAAGCTAAAAAGAGGTAGGAGGGGAAATTTGATTGGATATTTAAGTTTATTCGCCTCGGTAAGTGAAAACAGCGTCAATGACGAAAAAGACTCCGTTGAGAACAGCGAGCCAACCCTTGGTGAGACCTAGGTTAGTGCTTTTGGAGTCAAGCCTGAGGCCGTGCGAGAAATGATCGATAGCGAAGTAACCGCAAAGTAAGAACAAAATGGCTCCGACGACAACGAAAAACAGGTCCTGAAAGTAAAACGAACCGATGCTTTATTAGAAACTGCTGCAGGCTGCAGGCGAGGTTGCCGTTAATTAATCAAAGCGAACGTTAATGATTCAGCGGCGAAAAAATTCCCTGCACAACGTGAACTTCACCGAGGAGACAAAACTCAGCAAAATGATTCGAGCACCTTATCACATGCATATTATCGAAGTATTGAGTGAGGTTGAGGAATCTGCATTTGTTTGTTTAAATGATTCCATTGACATTTATCTCAGGAGATTGATAGTGACCTCTATGGGTTTCCAATCATTATTTATTCCTCGTCCACCTTAGTTCAAGGGAAAATTGTTACAGTTAAGTAAAGAAATGGAAAGGCGCATAAAGAAAAACAACTTCTTTCTCTTTTTTCCATTCTTTAATTTTTTGTTTTGATTTTAAGCCTCAAGGAGATTTCGTTGCTCTCTTGCAAGTAACTGCAGTATTGTCTGCACTCCAGCAGTTTTTTTGTTTCGCAAGGAAATTCGGAGATCCTTTAGGTTTCAATTTGTGCTCTCTAGATGTTTAAACTACGGCTTAGGCATGTTGGATTCTCACCGTGGTGTTAAAACAAGAATGAGAGGAAGAGAGTAGAAAAATCTCCATCTCATTGACCTCTTCTAGTTTCACGAATGCTATTTGTTTTTCTAGTAGTCACTCAGCCTCACTCGTTTTCTTCATGATTTTGGGCTAAAATGTACTAAGACATGACTCTTTCTTGTAAAATTTGGTTATGTTAATCAATGCTACTGCTTTAAATTCATTCCTGCATTATTAGTATACTTTGTCGGAAAGAAAGAATCCCAGAAGAATCTCCAATAGGCTCCAAGCTGCGTAAAAATTAGAGAACTACATAACCACACCATTTGGCTCATGCGATTTAGTTTATGATTGATAACCCAGTTAGAACACGGCGATTATACTGATCTTAATATGTTAGAGGTGAAAGTAAAATTCAAACGATGGACTCAAAAGTTGAAAGAATAAAAAGAAGTTTCTCTAAAATTTAATGTTTTTTTTAGCTGCAATTCTTGTTCAGACGTTTTAAATTGCAATTCTTATTGATCCAATAAAAATAATGTCATCCACATTCCCTGTCCATGGATACTAACTAAAACTATCGAATGACGTTTTCAACGATGTTCAAAAACTAAACGCCACAGTTTTTCTTCTTCTTGATATTATGAATAGAAAGACGATAAATTAAGCCATGTGACTTCCTTGTTTCTATTTGAAGAGAGCCGAAAAATAAAATTTGTTTTTGAAAGCCGGCAACACGATGAGTGAGTTGTTTACATTTTAACTCAACTCCGCAGACAACTTTTTCCGTAGGCGCGATTTACGATTCCTGCGCATTACGAATTTGTGAGTTTGACCTAGAACCAAACGTAAAAGTAGCACCCTGCAAATCACTAATCTTATTTTTTCGTGATTCGAACCAATTTCAGACCAACGTGCAGGAAGTTGACATTCAAGCGGACCAAAAGCACGCCTTCTCAGCCCCGATCAATAAAACGAGGGCGCAAGGGCGCGAATACTCTTTCTCACTCTCAGGGTGCCATGAAGCGTAAGAAAGAAACGAAAGATTGGAAATTTCTGTGAAATATTTCATACTTTTCAGGGGCTAGAGTATGCAGCCCGCACTCAAACCCAGAAGGAATGGAGTTACAACATCAGCGAGTCGACGATGAACCTCCTGCCTCAGTCATTACGTTGGTGTTTTAATTCCATGTAAAATATATTTATTTGACACACGAGTGTTCAGAAAAGTCAATGTGCTTCAGGCTAAATGTTTCGAAAAATGAAGTGGTATAGTAAATTACCCTTACATGCATAAAATGTATGAAAATGCGATTTGCGTTGCGATAAAATCAAACTTTAACTGTGTAGTAATTCAATATTTCATGTTGAATCAACTTGAAGTACCTAGATGCTCACCAGTTCCCGAAAGCAATATAATGAGTAAGTTTATGCAGATTTGCCCGAAAATATTTTACGACAGGCATTTCGGAAAAAAATTGAATTCATTGGGGAGAGATGTGTTAGTGTTACGTAAAAAAGATGCAATGCAAACTTTAGATCTTAAACCAAACAAGCGTGCATTTTCAAGGGACGATGCCAAGAAGCTGTATGCACACTAAATGCTGCAAGTGTTAGTGCGGATATTTAACTAGCTGAAAAACAGTTATAAGTAACGGCAGGAAAATTATACGCTAAATATTTTTAAATTTAAGGCTAATAATTAAATAGAAAGTTCTATATGTACACGGATTGTAAAATTCAAAATATGGATTTTCTTCATAAGAAAAGAATCAAATCATAATGGATACTTTTTACTATAAAACCACAATGAATATTATTTGAATTTGCATAGACATTGACTTGAAATAAGTGTCAAAATTGTGTGTTGTAATTCTTTGGCACTAAAAATTCATCGTTGAGTCCACGATTTTAAGTCTTGAACAATTTGCCACTTTTCAAAACAAGTAATGTTTTCCGAATGAGAGCCATAGTCTGGAATAATTTATTACTAACTTTTATGAGTTGTGATACATGCATGCGAAAATATTTACTTTCTATTTGATTTTTTTTTCTTTTTAAGGGAAAACATATTTCAAAATCACAACATGCTCTTATGTCTCATTTGATCTTGTTTTAAGATACCTCCTCCACCCATTCCCTCAACGCCTTATCTAACTCTTTCGCTTTGAAGCACTGTTTACACACGTGAATTTGGCATTGAGCAAGTTCTTAATTTTTAAGTAAGAGAAAAGTCCACTTATCAGAAGAGATTTTTTGATTAAATTCATCGAGATGCTGCAACAGCTTTAAATTTTCCTTCTGATGATGATTTCTCCATGAACTTGAGAGCGAAACCCAACCAACTAAACATTTTTGTTCAATGACGCTAATTTTTCGTTAGTGCCACTTGGACTAACGGCCAAAAAACACTTATCCATTGGACTGTATTTTGCAATTTGGAACTATAAATTCTGGCCCAGTTTAAAAACAACGTATGTGCCATTAGTTTTCCTATGCACATAAGTGTTTTTTCAGAAGAGCCAGAATTTATAGTCCCAAATTGCAAAATGCAGTCCAATTTACGGAGCGCAGCCTTAAAGCTCATGAAAGCTCGCTTTATTCGAAAACCGCGAGGATGCATTTGGTGAGCTTCATGTTTCAACCTATAATTTTTCCTCCTCCGCGTGTAAACAGTGCGAAACTAAGAGATAAATTCGAAGTAACGGTAACGCATAATCAAGTATTAGAGGTACTCACGATTTTCTTGTTGATTGGGTTTCCAGTCAGGTATCCCACAAACGACCCCAACATAATGATGAAGTACCCGGCAAAGGTCGCCGTACTGAGGAACAAGGAGTGGGTGTCATTGCTTTCGAAGCTTTTGTAGTGGAGGAAGAAGATGATGATGGTCAGGATCTGTAAAGAGAAGGTCAAATATTAGACGCATAATGGAATACATTTTGACACGAAAAATGGGTAAATACGTTGGAGAGAAGAATAATGATCTATTGTCTGTGTGACAACTTTACCCCTCCTTTATTTAATAACCTTGTTCGATGGATGCGTAACTTGTGGAGTTACTTATTGATCAAGGCTGATCTCTAAGACAGTGATCAGAGGTCATTTATTAATCAGTTTAGTGAGGGTTCAACCGCTGATGTATGTGTGATTATAAGTGCTGCAAAGTATAGAATTGCGATGTTTTGCAATGTTATGAATCCATGGCAAAAAATCAGAGGCATTCCTTGTCTCATAAGTTGCTCACAAGAAAGGTCCAAAATGAAAGTTCAAGTAACAGTTGCCCCTTCTCTGCCTCCCCCTACTGTTTAAGTAGTCTTTTCGAGACGTAGCACACAAGGATACCTCCAAAATTAACAGAATTTTACTCAAATTTCTTATCCAAATAATTATCTCAGCCTCCATCTTTTTAGCACTTTTATTCAATGAATATTCACCATGATTAGACTCCAACATATTCTCAAAAGATTGAAACACAGACATGAAAAAATGAAATTTTTTTTTCGGCTTAATTTGTTTTACCTTAATTCATTGAATTTTCACACGCTGGGAATGCCCTATACATTGCGCAACAGGAACCCGAAAATTTGACGAGGAATTGAAAATTTAACTCATGATAATCTCCTTTCAAAAATCCTAAATCAAGTTATTCATATGTCTAAGTATTTCATGGTCACTTGATTGTTTTCTTATATTTCAAAAAAATTCACGGAATATAATGAAATTTTCAGCTCTGTTCGGTGTTTGGGCGGCAATTTCGAATTCAATTTCCGACGAAATCCGGCAACTCGTTTCCGAGGTTGCGGCACTAAGGAGTGGCATTTACTACGACTTCCAGCGGCGCACGGTGGATCGAGTCGATGGTAGAGGTCAGACATGATTTAAAAACTTGCAAAGCATATATCTTCATTGATACGGAATTTCGATGTTTTAAAAGTAATTTAATTGGTTTTCTCGTACCATTTTCGGTAAAAATCACCCCTAAAAATTAAAATTGTGATGAGATAAACGTAAAATTTCACAATTTTTGTCAAAAATTCTATGTCCGACTTCTTCCATTGACTCGATCCACTGTGCGGCGGCTACGGATGCCGCTGCGTTACGGCGCGGCGCGGCGTGGCGAATGCCGCCGTGGGCGTTGGACGTCCGCGTCACGGCATNGGGGGGGGGGGGGGGGGGGGGCGTGCGGGGTATTTTGCGCGGGAGAAGTGGAATGAGTAATAAAAACAAAAGTGAATCATTCGCGACTTGCGACCACCTCGCTCACCTTGCCCACGGATGTGACTCGGATGAGCGGCGGGCAGGAAGGTCTACTTCGCGAAAAGAGGAACCGCCCGCGAATCGTCGTGGGAAATCTGCGAACGCATGCCAGGATGTGATGGTCAGTTGCGCCAATGAAGATGTTGCATGTGTGAGGAATTTGCGATTTGACTATTGAATCTTATGTAAAAGTTCTCGAAAAACACGATGGTGCCACCGGTTTTCTCTGAAATCAACTCCCAAGCTCAAGAAAAGCTCTCAAGTTGAGGCCAAAATGGAGGGGATATCCCACGTTATCCTCAGCGTCCACCTCTACATCAAGACAAACTGTCCATGCAAAGATAGGGAGCAAATACCTACATTGACAGGGCTGCCACTTTATTCGGGGACTCTAAAACTGAAAACACGGCAACCCTGCTAATGTATTTGCTCCCTATCTTTGCATGGAGAGTTTGTCTTGAAATAGAGGTGGACTCTCAGGATAGCGTGGGATATCCCCTCCATTTTAGCCATTTTGGATTTTGTCATATTTAAAGCATAGATCAAATAACTCATCGAGCAATGGCAATTTTGATTTCAAGAGCACTCAACCATATTTCAACACCCTGGCGTTAATATACGATGACGTTATGTGCATGTGTGTTTACATTACAGCGAACTACATCAAATAACGTGTCTACTAAATATAGCTAGATTCACTCACTTCAAGTCTAGCTGAATCTGAGTTGAAAGTAGTAGTCATCATTCACCGATGATCGTGAAAATTGGGTCGATCATCGATAAAGGATGACCCCCACTTTTGGTAACCCTCCAGAAAACTTGCAGCGTGTAATGCAGAATGCACGCTTATTGCACTTACCAACGAGGTGGATGATGTCACTCATAAGCTTTCCCTTGTAAATAATTGATTCAATTAGTTCCTTATTGCCGGGATACAGTTCAAATCAGATTTGGATTTTTCTCCTGAGCGAGCATTAATTAATGACAAACCAAGCTCGACCATGAATATTCAGTGATAAAAAAAGAGGAAAAACCTCACAGATGGCATTTACAGATAATTAGAGTCTCCCTAACGACAAAAATTAATCGCCCATCCCCTTTCAAGAAATTAAAAAATTAAAAAGAATCAGTCAAAATGATTGTCCAATATGGCTACAATGGACTTTCCGACCACCCTATACTCCTACAGTATGTATACGTATAATGAAACAAGTAGAGATGAATCACTTTTCTGGCCTTGAGCTAAATGATCCACATGAAATGACCCACGAATGACGGGAGGTCCCGCTTTTGCTGTTCAATCACCGTAAAGTTTCGCCTGCACCCACACCGCCGTCGCCCCAAAATTCATGTCACGAGGCTGCCTCAGATCATGAATGAATTTTGATGGCCCCTGATGTAATAAACTCTACCTTACTCGTGCCAAAAACGTGCTGAACTTCTATGAATTAAAGTTAGTCACCAGCTGCGTAATTTTTTTTCTTTTAAAAAAAAGTCGGTTAAAGTTTTTACGGCTATAGGAGAATCAATTGCCGCCTTTCCAGGTGAGATGTTTCGGCAACAAAAATGATTTATGCGAATGAGCCTAGTCACGCGCGAAAATGTTATAGGTATTTTTTGCTGTTTTCCTCTCATATTTACGTTGTTGAAAAAAATAATCGTTCCACTGTTCATTTCCTAAATAACGCCCACTCTATTGGAACTAAATGGATGTTCACGAGAGATTTTTATGAAGAGAACGGCTAACCACATAGGAGCCCCAATATAGAAAAAAGTGCTGGGATTTTTTTTTGTCAAGATAAGTCATTTATTTAAACAAAATTGATAACAGAAAGTATTTAACAACAAGGTAATAACTATAGCAGGCTTTGTTATAAATTCACCTTAGGCCAGTGATCAGTTTTTCCGGTCCGCTAATGAGCAAATTTTAATGAAAAACGAATACAGACGCTTTAAAATGCGTGAGGACCTACAAACTCATAGAAACAGGCGTTCTCCAAGTTCTAAATTCCGATTTTTCTATTACTCCGGTCTTGAATTCCTCGAGTAAAGAGGACAAAGTACACAGGCACCACGACCACGAATCAAAAGCTGTTTTCATTGAGTGAGCTTCTATTGAGCCGTCGCGGCGCGCGAAAGTATTTCAGTCATAAAAATAAGTCATTCATCCTCGTTTCCCCCGTTCCAAATTTCTCGGCGCTGGGTACTTGAACTTGCTCCGGAATATGAAAGTGGTGGAGTTAAAATTAGGTCCATCAGTTTGAGTTTCTCGCGATGACGATCTGGACCGTTTCCAAACATCAGAGCGAAGCGAGACTGTTGATATTCGCTCCTTTCATTTTCTTTTTTCCCGCCGGGCTCATAGTTTACGCCCGCACGGCACGGTTTTCCCGAACAAAAACCACTCAACTTTAACTAAAACCTTACGCAAGTCGGCGGTTTTTACCGAAAATTCTTAACTCGGCCCCGCGCTATAGCTACGTCATCTTGAAAAATGTACCAATTAATAAAAAGCTCGTTTCGGGTGCCCGCCGGCGGCGCTGCAGCCATGGTGGTTACTCATTGTTGCCAGATTGTACGATATATTTTGTATATTTTACGTTAAACTAAAAAAACACAAGAAAACGGGTAACCAAGGCTAGAAAACAACAAACACGTCTAGGACCTTTCAGGATGGTTTCCACCCCCTCTTCTACAAAGTGATAACCTCACTTTTTTTTACCACGAATGGGGGTTGAAGATTTTGATTTCTATAATTTTCTATATATTTTTGTTTCCTGGTTGATGAAATGGTTGAAACCACCCTGAAACATCTCAGGTTTTGTTTTTGTTGTTTTTTAGCCTTGGTTTTACCCGTAATCTTGTGTTTTTAGTTGAATTATTCGGGCTCTTTTGTGTAGTATATATTTTTTGCGTTGAATTATACTAGACAATTGCTTACTTATCATCAAAATCTGGCAACTATGTGGCCGCTAATTTCGTCGTGCGCGGCTAGTTAAGTCAATCATGTTCTTGTCGCGCGCTTAACCTCAGTCCACCTGTGAATTGAAATAAACTTCGATGTTCTACACTCATGTTGACATGTGCGGTGTGCTCGGAGGCCGCGCGCCAGCAAAAAAAAAAAAAAAAAAAAAAAAAAAAAAAAAAAAAAAAACACACACTAGGAAATATTTTTTCCCCCTCCAAGCCACCACGACTGAGAAGCTTTTTTTGGCCGTTTTTTGAATAGAGGCTTTATACTATATTCGACCTGGCGGCGTCTGAAATAGCTCCAGAATAAATAAATAATTTATCCAACCGTTTGTCGGTCACTGGGCGAAGCGGAGGCGCCAGAGGCATTCGCACAGAGCATTTCTATTTTAGTCATATTGTTTGTTTCCATTCTGAATTTTTTCTGATAGCTCGCTGATCGGTTGCACTGCGGATTCCTTGCTATTATTCACCGCGCGATGGGTTTTGATGCTGTGAAAGTAATTTATTGAACCTCATTTCATTTGGGGCTCCTCATAAAATTCGGAACGCTAAATTTTGGATTTTTGGACCCTTTCCCTCCCCCCCCCCTCTTAATGTTTTTGTAAGGCAGGTCCCTATGATTTAATACTTAAAAGCATAATTGTTTAAAGCTCTCCTCTAACCCC